TTTCGCTCTAAAAATCATGTTCCAAAGTTGATCACCACTGCCATGCTGCCCCACTCAAAGATCGATTTTTTCAGCCTTCATATGACTTGCCTGGCTTTAGGTAGGATTCATTCTGGAGGTTATTTGACCATCTGAACACGATGGTTGAGCCAGATTTCGCTCTAAAAATCATGTTCCAAAGTTGACCACCCCTGTCATGCTGCCCCACCCAAAGATCGATTTTTACAGACTTCCCATGACTTGCCAGTGCTCCAAAAGCATTTTTCCTGGGGGCTCTTGATCCCTCTGAACACGGTGGTGATGCCAGATTTCCCTGGAAAAATCATATTCCTGAGATATACAAGGTCCTCCTCCTCCCTCCTACCTCCTATATGTTGCTGTACTTGATTTTAACTTGAAACCGATACTGTAAAGGACTGTCCTGGGGTTTTTCAGGTGTAGGAATCGATTGGTGATGGTCCTGGACCATCTGGAGATCAATGTTTGTGACATATGGTGGTGGGGCTAAAAAGTCAGTATTTTGGCAATATCTCCATAACCAAACCGCCGTTTTCTTTGATTGTTGGCTCATATCCATCCTGAAAGTACCCTCTAACATATGTACCAGCCCACCAGAAGATATTTTTTTACAACTTTGAAATGTATTTCTGAAATGACCATATAAGTAAGATCAATTGTTACAATTACTATATTGTGGTCGTCATTTTTCCGCCGTTGCAATGGTTGCATCGGGGATTCACATAGGAGGATGTACAACTCATACCACTGATGATAATTAGTACAATTATTACACTGTAAGCCTGATTTTGCCGCCGTCACAACGGTTGCATCTGTGATTCACATAGGAGGATGTACAACTCATACCACTGATGATAATTAATACAATTATTACACTGTAATCCTGATTTTTTATCAGTGATATATTGCATTTTTATTCATTATACATTGCAAAAATCTATTTGATGTCCGAGTCATTTATGTTTTGGGACCCTTGGGGGTCAACAAAACCCTAACTGTACCCAAACCTATATACGAAAATCCTATATAATCTTTCCTTTCCTTTGTGTCATCTTTCCTTGTTCTTGGCATTAAGTCTAACCATTTTAGACATAGTTCTTCCTCTGTAACCAAGTATGTAATGCTTCTTTCCTTCTGTAACCGATTATATAATTTCCTCTTTCCCTCTCTAACCATATTAGGACTTTCCTCGAAGGAAAAATCTATGCCCCCATAATTTTTCAACTCAAATAGATAGGGCTCGCAAGTCAATCGCTTAGACAGACTCATTGCACACTTGTGTTCTTGTGATATCTTGCTGATGTTTTGCGCTATATTGCTTTGATTTTTGCTGTATTACTTTGCTTTGCGTCTCGTTGGCACTTCATGATACACTCGTGTTCTTGTGGTATATCACTTTTTCTTTTGCTGTAATACTTTGCTTGAAACCGTCATAAAACAATGAAATGTTGCTTTGTTCTTGAACATATTCAGACTTTGAATTTTTGCTTCGCCATCCAGGCACCAAATGGTAGGGTACCAGTCAATGTATTGATACAAAAATTCACAAATACTAGTAGGCTAGTAGCACTTAGGTATGAGTGAGTGTATTGATATGTATTGATACAAGAAAGCATCCCCTGGAAGCCGGAAATAGGCACAAGACAATGTATTAATACGAGGAAGCATCCCCTGGAAGCCGAAAATAGGCCCAAGCCAATGTATTGATACGAGGAAGCATCCCCTGGAAGCCAGAAATAGGTACGAGGTACTGTATTGATACATAGAAGCATCCAGGGAAGCCAGAAATAGGAACGAGCGACTGTATTGATACAAAGAAGCATCCAAGATGCATCCAGGGAAGCCAGAAATAGGTACAAGCGATTGTATTGATACAAAGAAGCATCCGGGGAAGCCAGAAATAGGTATGAGCTATTGTATTGATACAAAGAAGCATGTATGGGACTGAGGATCATATGTATGCATACATTTGTGGGGGCTGAGAATCCTCGCTAAGTATGCATTCATGGTTTGTTACACTACCAGGACTTGTATTAATACTTATGACAGTATAGCCTCACTGCCACTCGTGTTCTCTTTGATGTCAGGCACATAACACATCGTCACAACTAGCCAGGAGGAAGTATCGCATTTACTCACCCTCCATGCTTCGCCAGCCAAACGCTAGAGTGTTGGCCCTATCCAAGTTTCCGAACAATGGTATATGTTGAATTAAGTTTATTTCCCAGTGTCGCAGGATAGAATCCGCCATTTCGATCGGCAGGAAGATCAAATAGCTCTTCAGGTCATTGCAATAGAATACTGGGATCGCGTATGGTCCGGCGAGAAAAAACTTTGAAATTCGGCCTAAGTGCTTTGAATATGTTCTTCATAACACATAGGAGATGATACAGAGTTCTCTCTGGTGCGATAGGAATGAAAGTAAAATACGTTGATGCTGAGCCACAGTCACGGTTCGAACCAAACCATCATCATCACAACCACTATCATCAATTTTTTTTTGACGGCCAGTATGATCATCGAGCTTCTTTTTGTTCAACGCGCGGAACCGGTCGTGAAATTTACACCATACGTCTCGATGGATCATGCGATATGGCTCGCTGCGATGCATGGTGCGTCTCGATGTCGCCCACCCTAGCTAGCCCATTTTGATTTCTCCAATCGTACTATTCTTTTTGTTCAACGCTCAACAGAATCAAATCTGTAGATCATCAACATTACTACCATCATGCATCAAGTTTCGATGTCACACACATGATCGCCTACCGTGATTGCTCCAACGAGTGAGTCAATTGTTTCTCACTATGATTCAGACATCAGACATCAATCTCCCAAATTACACCGATCATTTTTGCATGCATTGCTCAATGAATTCAGCAAGAACAGGGACTGATTGATTCTGCGCTCAGTGGAACATGAGGAAAAAATCTCGCAGAAGAATTCTGCCCATGCAGCAAGTTGGTGGTATGCCTGGACGATTATTTCGTTACTACGGGTCATGGCTAGCAGATCAATGTCTAGTAAGGTGGGCGTCATCGGAACACCACTCATGCGGAGGGTCTAGAGCGCTAGGCCTTCCAAATGGAACCTTCTTCATTACAAGGCGCTGGTCTCGACTCGTTGAATGGGGCGCAGTCTATGAAGGTTCCCGGATTCCTGTACGCTTATTTTGAGCTCTTTCAAGCCGCTCAGCAATTTCTTCCTCTTTGACCCTCGCGTCTTCTAGTGTTCCCTGTAGCTCCCCCGTCGGACCTGCATCTGAAAACGCATGGCGACATGTATGTCAAATATCGCTTTTGCCATATTCCTCAGACCACTCTACCTCCCTGTGTCCTCCACATCATCTCATCCATCATTGAAAGCGAAGCCAACCTCACAAGGATACGTTTGAGCTAACTCAAAGTTAATTCATACTCATCTGATGGTGGCGTCGTGTCCCAAAGTGACCTGATAACTGAATATTTGAATATGGACGAAATATGCCGTCGGCGTCAATGCTCCATGGCGGGTTGTTCAATTCAACGCGACGGGTGACATTCAAACTCTAAGGGTACAGCCTTTGCCTCAAATTGCCGTGCCTTGTTTTATCGCAGATGATGGCTTCTGGGAGCCAGAGATGTGAGCACTATTACGCGCTCACTCCCCAGAAGAACAGGACATCGTTTCTCACCTCGTTTTCAGACACCTAATTATACTGGGCGCCATTACAAACGTGCACCGACGATGGCCCATCAGAAGTAACATCGCTTCGTACTCACGCTCGAATCCGAACACGGAGCGCTCGTCGTCTGAATCGCATTTTTTTTCAAGGCACGACATTGGACTCCTGCATTGCATGCACGAAACGGGCGACGCATGTACAATCGTCTCTGGTTGTTGTAACATTATCGCATTGTCTGATATGATATGATTTATCGGTCACACCTTGACATGGTCTGTCGTTGATGCAAACACGCCTGAGTCACTCCGTGATCGCGCCTTTCCATGCGCCTTGCTGAAAGCTGTCCCCAGTTGAATCACTACACATAATGACAGCAGCTAGCGGGCGGGCGGCCAGACTCGACTCACAATGCATCCCAATCCCCCTTCATTCCGTCCTTCTCCTTCTCCCATTCTGTCTTCTGCGTCTGTTCTACTGACATCTTCATGAATACCATCCTCTATCTTCGTAGCCCACCAACCACCCCAGCTTTCTGGCATCTATGGAAGAGGTTACTCTACCCGCTTCTGAAAAGCTTGTCTTAGGCTCTTGTATATTTCCCTACGTCATATTCGCCTTCGCCATACCCCCGCGCATGAAGAGCTGTCCGTGCGACTGTGATGCTGGCCATCATGTACGTGCTATATAATGTTATATATGTCGTTCTAATTTGTCCACTGGTTCACTGATGGCCAAGCAAGCAAATCAAATCAACTTAGATTTAATAACGACTCGGACACTGACCGCGATTCACGGCTGTTCATAACGCTTTCTCCTTTTCTACTTGTGCTTGTTTCATCACTTCGAATCTCGACGACTGGTTTTAATACGATCGTGACCGCATACGACGTTTTTGAAGATCGTTTATTCATATCACGTACGACAGAGATAATTACCTCCTCTCACGACCAACTGACACTACATACTCGGACCCGCTCTCCATCACGCTTCGCAACTCCCGCCCTAGTTTTTCCTCTGCAAACGAGGCAAAAAGACGGTCAACGTAGTCTACTCCGATATGTTTTACACAATACACATCAGACGCGAACGGATTGATTGCATGCAATATGCGTGAACCAGTCTGCCGGTCTACCCATGGCCAGATGTGTAGTGTATGGGAAAAAACTGTATGAAGTCTGCTATGCTCTATTCGTACCCCAAAAGTCGAATGAAAAACGCATCTACCTTGCAAGTCGTCAACAAAAACGGTCGTCAAAAGGAACAGTCGTCAAAAGAAATAGAAACTACACAAGTAAATCCGCCAGGTCAGCTTTGTCGCTCGCTATACCATATTTTTCACCTCTACATCGTTCAGCTTTTCGTCAAAGTGTGTGCTGTGTTGAGCAGGATGTACGGGGTCGCTGCGTTTTGGTTGGGCCGTGTGATCCGTACTGCGGTCGTAGAAGATTGATACTGAAATGATTTCAAGAGCGACAAGTCCAACGAGGAACCAAAAGGCCGCGGATCGACCGCTGTACTCAAGTGAACCTCCATGGGTGGCTTCCACGGATGTCTCTATTGAGCTGACAGCAGCGAGGCCAATAGCTGATCCAAATTGAAGCGCGCCATTAAAGATGGCACCAACTGTGCCGGCCATGGATGAAGGTGCAGCTTGAAAAATAGCAATGCTGTGAAGCACTTAAAATGCGTTCATAAAGGCATGATTTAGAACTTACTTCGTATGTGTATAGGCCAGCATAGCCCCTCCGCTTCCTAGAGTAAAAGCTGGGAAGATATATGGCCAATAATCCTGGGGGTTCCCTCCACCGAGTGCCAGCAATACCGTCGCAACCATGCACAAGGACAGACCAGTGAGAATGATCCATTTCGGACTGAAAATGCGAGAAAGTGATCCGGTGAAACTCATAGTGAGGGCTATGATACCGATCGGGAACCTGGTGAGCAAAAAATTACGTATCAATGATGGGCAACATGGAGTGACAGCGAGGACCCTACATGTGTACAGCCGATGATATCACCGACCAGTGAAACACATTTTGCCATAGGGTAGTAAAAATCGTGAACACTGTGCTCCACCAAAAGAATGGCAAGAGTGCGACGGCGAAAAGAATGGAGAAATTGTGGTAAAACCATGTCCGGGGTGGTCTTGTCTAAGATGAGCCAATGATTGGTGATTGGTGCAGGCATCCCCGATAACGTACATTGCAGCTTTTTCCACCGGCATAAGTGTTTCCCAGTAGAAAAACCCAACCACCATTGAAAGCGAGATAATGAGTGGGACCAACACTATTGCGGATGCCCAACCATCTGTGGAGCCGGATGTCACAGCGAAGATGAATAAGATCAAGGCAACTACCACAGCTCGTGAGCGATGCGAAGTAGAGTATGCTGGAACATTCATACCGGTTAAAATGCTTACACCGACTAAATCAAGAGATTTCCATTTCGCTTCTGTAGGCTCAAGGGTGTCTATAGTCTCTGCAATTTGTGGCGGTATGATGAAGACACATCCCAGAGCTACCGGCACAGCCACAAAGGTCACAAACCAGAATACCCAATGGTAAGACGCCCATTCAACGAACATTGCACCAATCAGAAGACCGAGAACTGTGTAGGGGGATCATGAAAGTCCGCCGTGAATCATGAGCTACGTGGGATCCTCACCGTTAGCAACGGAACCGCAGCCTCCAAATACGCCTATTGCCCGGGCTTGTTCAAGCGGATCGGGAAATACTTTGACCAAGAGTGTTAAGGCGGAGGGGATTGTCATTGAAGAAGCTAAGAGGCGATCTTCGTTCAGCCAAAACCAACACACCAGCGGGAATGCTCACCTATTCCAGTCAATGCTCTGAGAACGATGATCGGAATGGTGGTATCAACGAATCCTGCGCACAGCGAGATGACAGCAAGTCCAAATACTCCTCCAATGAACGCAGTTTCTGTGTGCCTGTTAAAATCACTGTCCAACAGGAGCGGCAAAGCACTAACTTGGATTGTATACGTCACTAATACGGCCACTCTAAACAACGCGTTGAAGTGCAGGTCAGATTAACGGGATGAGCACGCACGATAAGTAGGAAGGATGCGAAAGTCAACTGGAATGCGCTGATGATCCAAGTGGATTGACTTTCAGCCATACCCATGGACACTTCAATTGCAGGGATCGCAGAGAAGAGAGCTGAGTTATTGAAGGAATCCAAAAACTGAGCAAGACAGAACATAACCAGTAAAATAAGCCTGCGAGTACAAGAAAGTCCTTTGGGTTCATATTCAACCCGCGTTTCAGCCGGGGAGAGAGGTGGAAGTGGCAACATCGCACCCGAAAGCTGTAGACAAGGTATTGCGGTCAGGCAGTTTAGGAGCGCGCCAGCTGGTGAAGGGGTGGTTTGGAACGATCTCTGTCGAAATTGGAGGATAGGTCAACATTATAAGAGGTGTCTTCAAATACATGACTCATTCCCAATGTCTGTGAAAGATCTCGATTATGTGCATGGGTTTCAGATATGAGCCATTCCCGAATAACTCATATTACTAACAGTGATTAGGAACCAGCAAACCGGCTGTTCAGAACGACTAACTGTGATGGGTTAGTAAAGGGAAGAAGGGCACGAACGAATAGAAATAGCATACTTGACAATGTCTGTCAGAGACATGTATTTTCCCTGTGGATCACTATCCTCGTGACTGTTCAATATCACCTGGACGCATATTAATGGCTGAGGTGATCACAGGGGCCAGAGATATTTGTCAGCAACTGACGCTGAGGAAAGGGCCATCATAAGGTGAGTAAAGTAAAGAGAAGGACGAGCACCAACGATTATCATACTTGACCATAAGTCAACTCTACGAGAGACAATTATCTTTCCCTATGGCTTATCATGGTCGTGACTGTTGACTTTCACCTCGTCGCGTATTGATGGCTGAGGTTATCGCGGCGGCCAGATATGATTCTGAGCATTAATGTCCACTCACATCGACGATGAGATCGAAAACGTGCCGGATATATTGAAGGACGCCAGATGGAAGGGAATGTATATCCATTTTATTTGTTCGGTAACAAGATCGATGTAGATGCCAGCACCCACGCTGGCCTTGGGGTTCATCCTGGTAACGTCCACGCAGTTTTGCCTATCTGTAGCACCTCTGTCTTGTCGATCTGAAATCGGCCGAGGCGCAACATGAGAAAGTGGTGGTGCGGTGCTGCAGTGCCGCTTTGGTGACCCACGTTCTAATCGGGTAGTGTAATAGGCCCTTTGGAGTTTCTAGATAATGTGCTTCCTATAATTTATCAGTTTCGACGCTGCGCCATCATAGGATGCAAAGAGAAGAACGAGCACGAACGAATAACATACTTGACGATAAGTAATGTCTGTGGGACTGTGCATTTTCCCCTATGGCTTATCATGGTCATGACAGTTTACCATCAGTTGGACGCGTCACGCGTATTAATTGATCACGGGGGCCAGAGGAGCTTCTTGGCAACATTAATTTCCACTGGCATCGAGGACGTACCGGATATATTGAAAGACGCCAGAAGGAAGGGAAGGTTATTTTTTTATTTCTTCGGTGAGAAGGAAGACCGATGATCCGTTGTAGATGCCAACACCCAGGTTTGCCTTAGAGATCATTCTGATAACGTCCATGCGTCATTTAGGTACACAGGTTATTAAACATAAGAACGGGGCGTAGTTGGACCATATCGATGATACCCCTTGTCTCGTCGTTCTGAGCATGGTCAAGACGTTGGTGGTGCCACTTTGGTGATCAACCTTCTAATCGGGTCGGTGTAAGAGGTATTTTGGAGTGTGAAAATGACGTGCGCAATGTCCCTATCAGTTATTAGTTACGACGCTGCACTATCGGCGAGGAAAGCCTCAAACGGATGAAGTTCAGTTCAATGATCTGGTATGTGCATCAAAGTTGTCATCTTCTATCGCACCTTTGCCTAGACCTTTCGGCTTCACGGTATTCTTCACGAGAAGCACTTTACTACGGGACGGGTGACCGTGATGAACGGGCAGAAGACGAAGGACTATCAAGGACTTTAACCTGCTTTGGGTCATGTGGGATCTGATATCAATTTGGAAGCCGGGTGATATCTTAACGCGTGCTGTGATATGCGGTGTGTTGTACGTGATGACAAGAGGAACTTAATTATCTGCGTCCAGACCCCAGGGCAAATAATGAAGCGTACAAGAAGCGGTCACGTGTGATATTGATTTGTTCGCGACTGTTTACGCGTTGTTTTGTAGTGCACCTACAGAACCAAACAAGTTCGAATTCTGGAAGGCGATGAAGGGTCGAAAGGATCCTTGTTTCTCTTGCGCGCGAGCTTGTCACCGTAAGTCATCTTTCGTCGCTAAGGTATGTTGTTGTTCTCTACCCTACAAGTCCGTTGTTCACTGTGCTGTATTTTCCTAGAAATTCCGTGTCATCTACTAATACAAGCCATTAACGAGTTTTACTACTCACGATTCCTCAGACGACCGTCAGGACCACAAGACCACGACGTCCTCGCTATCAAACAAACAACCATCTAAATCAACTTAGATCCAATAACGACACTGACTACGATTAACGACTGTTCATAACGCTTTCTCGGTTTCACTTTTGCTTTCTTCATCTTTTCGAATTTCAACGACTTGTTTTACTACGATCACGACTACATTTAACGTCTTCGAAGACTGTTTGTTCACATCACATACGCAAGAGACACGATGTCAAGACAGCTTCTCTCACGACCAACTGACACTACACGCACCCGCTCTCCATCACCCTTTGCAACTCCTGCACCCAAGCTTACCATCCCCACCATCCGCCTTGTCGCCGCAACGCCTTCAGACGCCGGCTCACCTGTTGCCCCATGGTCTGAACCTCAGCCCCCACCCCCTCTGGCACCCAAAGCATCGTCCTCAGATGCAACGCCCCGCAGACGTCTCGTACCCAAGAAATCAAAACTTGGTATCCTCTCTTCGCGAGAGACTGATTTATCAGACGTGGTGCGTCGCGTTGGTGCCGGCTCCTCGAATAAGAATGGCAGCGCGGGCATCGAGATTTACGTTGACCCAACTGACGATCCCGAAATCGGGGAAATTGTCGTGGTGAAGAAGAAGAAGAGCCGCGTAGCCCTGGATGGCATGCGCTGGGGTCCCGCTCTCGGTGAGGTGACCAACGTCCCCCATGTCAAGGAGAAGGAGAAGAAAGAGAGGAAGAAAGACAAGGAGAATACATTGAAGGTGAAGGTGGATGAGAAGAGCGGGTGGTGGAGTATTGGAAAGGGGAAGAAGGAATCAAAGGAGAAAGACAGATCGAAATGTAAGTTTTTTTATTCTGGCGCATCACACTAGTAACATATTTTATCTGACAGCGCCTGAACCAACCTCGACCGTCCACACCGACTCTCGTGCACGGTTCAATTCTCTTGACTCGGGAATCTTGCTGAACAGCCCTGTGTTCCCTGAGCACCCCAAGTCGCTTGCGGAGAACCAGCATCTACGTGTGCCAACACCACCCTCTGCGTCATTCGCGTCCGCTACATATGGTGCCACACTCGCCCCACCAGGTGCTGCTCCACTCGGCTCAGGTAAAGATAGCGTCGCACTCCGAGCCATTCGCTCCGTCCGTTCTCTCGCCCGTATCGGGTCTTGGGCACAGCTCAAAAACACCCCCGCACCAGAAGATCCGCCCACACTTGCCGCCGCACCCATCATCAGCGAGCCCAAGCGAAAGAAGAAAAAAAAGGATAAGGACCAACTCAAGGAAAAAGAAAAGAAGGACAAGGCCGCTACCGTGCGCTACTCGGGCAGTAGCTTTGAAGCTGGCGCGCTTACAGCTAGCCCTGAGAAGGAAGCTTGTAGAGCGTCCCTTCGCAAGAAGAAGTCTATTCTTGGGCTGGGCCTCCCCTCCACGATGCGTCTCCCGTATTTGCGCAGTGGGTCTACAGCATCGTCGGTCGTAGCTGCCGAAGTGCAAAGCTCGAACCGGCTGTCGGTGGATTCTGCTGCGGTGTTAGGTGGTAGTATTCTGGCCAGAGCAAGATCTGGGTCCATCATGACAGCGAGCAGTGCGGGCAGCGTTAGACCTGTTTCTGTATCTTCGGGAGGATCT